TGTGTGTGTTTTTCAGGAAACTGGAGCTTTTGTATATGGAGCGATGAGCTTTTTAGACAAGATGTCTAATGGCGTCATTATACAGATCATTCAATTGCTTTATCCCAAAAATACTGATAAAGGGTAAGTTGCTCTCTGGAAGGCAAAGCTTGCTCCGGAAATCAAATATTTCTTTTCACCGCCAATAAAAGTGCACATGAAGTTATGACACCGACTGTGTTTTTATATTCTAAAAAGAGGCTAATCTTTTGGGATATGTCCTCAGATATCCAAAACATTGGCTTAGAAAGCTGTTAGGTTATGACTTGCTGATCAACCAGGCCGCCCACCAGTTTCGTAACAAAATTTCACTCCTTTTTTTCCATCCCACGCCGATTTGTTTTAACCGTTAAGAGCGACACAAAAAGGCATTCGTGACTGAGATTAGTGATTATTTATTTTTCTTTTTTTGCAATAACTATAACAGCAACCGTCTAAAATTTGTGCATTATTTTTTAATTCATATTGCTCATTAACTCGCAGGTCCAGTGCTGGCGGTCTGTATTACAGAGAGGTCATGGTATTCGCTTCGGGAGTGGCAGCGGTTATCGCTCTTTTGGCTCTCGCCACGCCGGCAAAAAAGAACTTAGATAAAGCTAACCAAGGTATGAAAAGGATGAAACCTTTTCCACCGTTTTGGGGTAGTCTGCCCACGACTGTTTGAAGCGCAACGGATGTGACCTGTTTGTCAAATCCCTCGAGAATTTTATTTCGCTCGCGCTCTAGAAAAAGATCAAGGAAAAATATACCAACTCAATTTTCTGCAGACAGGTTAATTTCGGAATTGTATCCCAAGAAAAGTAAACTGTTGTAGATTTTGGCACGCTTAATATACAAATTTTACAGGATCGTTTGCGAAAGAAAATGATAAATGCCAAAAAAAATGCCAATTGCAACAGCTGAGAGAGAACCTGCGCGGAATTTGGAAAGACAGTTGCACTTCTACTATTTATTAACGACGATTAAAATGTTCTTTGCCTTTTGAAACTGTTGTATCCTAAAAAAAAGATAAGGTTTCACCTGCTGTCGAGCCTTGGAACCGTGCTCCTTAATTGGTTTAAGTTTACAATTGACCCGTTTCTCCGTGCATAGCAACTTTTAACATCAGACGATTTCAGGGCTACAGCTGTAATGCTTATCCTTACTCTGTCTTTTCTCTATGAGGCCTAGAGGTTGATTCTATACAGAATACTTGTTTCATCTCTTCGACAGCTGAGTCGTCGATATGGAGTATGAGTCGAAAGAGGCCTTATCGTTCTCGATAGTGATTTTTGACAGCCGTTTTATTTTCTCGCTAACATGCGTGATTTTCTTTTGCATCCTAGAAGCACATGAAGCCACATCCGATACATGGTTACAGTCTGGTTCGTGGTCTTTAGTCTGCTCATCAAAGGGTCCATTTTTTGCTTCATATGAATCTCCAGCTCAATTGGTTCTAAGGAGAGAGGCAACTGAGGATGCCTCAGAGTCTCCAGCTTTTTATGGTTCTATGGAGCTATGATGTAATACCGGAAGATCAAGCTTAAGGAAATTTCCGTCTTCACAGAGTTAAAATGTTACAGTTTTCAACTCTATTAACCCTTTGTCTCATAAGAGTGACCAGCATCTAACTTCTCCCTATAATATCGCTCCTGAATCGCACACGAGGGTCACAAGAATAAAGGAAATGATCACCAACTCAGGAAGGTCTTGATCGTTAAACAAATTCTCCTTGTGAACCCCTTAGGAAATGTATAGAAAACACTATGGAGAACACACATACTAGTGTTTCGGTGTAAAGGGTTAAAGTTTGCTCTTTTAATCGAAGTTCTGCTTATTTTCCTTTTTCCCTCACTGTGCTATGTAAAAGGAACCTACAAAGACTCGTGCTATACTTCTGAGAACAATTCCTTCTAGTTACATTCGTTAGTAGAGGAACTAATATACCTTTCCTCGATTTCCTTGTCCCTCCAAATACAGTTTCCATTGTAACCGGCGAGCAAGCACTTGTTGTCGTTGCTTCAGAAGCATCTCGCAAGTTTCTCGCGAAACTCGCGAGGAAAGTGAGGTCAACTTAACCCTCACGAATCTCGCGAGAAGCCCGCGAGATTCTCGTGCGTTAGGGCCAATAAGAGCCTGCTGGCATCATAGCTGTTAGTATGTCACGCAACTCTCTTGCAGAAAGAGGCCTTTTAGTAAGACAGCCCAAAGAACGGCTGAGAGGGAGACTAGATAGCGTGGCATGCTCATGATACGCTAGATGGTCCAGTAGCGCATAAACCTTACTACCATGCGGGACTGTATCATGCGTTCTAACAACTAAAATGCAAGGAACAATAAGCCAGTAATGTTCGACCAGTTCATGTCTTCTGTCTAATTCCCTTTCTAAAAGGTTCGTTAAAAGTTCTATACAATACAGACATCATTATTAAGCAATCTTTTAGTGACGAGATACGTTGATTTCCCAACAGCAACAGGGGACATAGTGTTCTCCGGAAGCCCCAATGGCCAGCGCTGTCGCCGGCTTCTTGCTTCTGAAGCGCTTGCCGCTTTTAAAAAGAGACAAAACAGTTTAATACCTGTATTAATTGAAAAAAAATGCTATCTTTGCTGGCTCCTGCTTTTGATGGCTGGCTTCAAAAAACACTGAAATCTCGGGAGAACACTGAACAAGGTGGCATGATCGTCCTCAAAGTAGGGTTTCAAAATTTAACTTATGTCAGGCGAGTGAGTGACGTCAATTGAAAAATGGGTTGATTTCTGTGCGTGGTGTGATGAGAGATTCTTATTGTTGTTTACCAAACTTGCATTACCATCAAAGGGAAAAGGATTTATCAGTAGCCTCGTGATTATCGCATGATTGATATTTTAATCATTTTGAGAGTGGAAAACAGGAAAGAACAATAATTTGTCTGTGACCTAATGCACTACGTGGATTGCATGACCTAACGTAATTGTACTTTACAAAAAAAGACTAGACCCTGTGAGCAGGGTAACTGGGATACCTGGATGGTACTGGATCCTTGGAATCAAGTGGAGTGATACTACGGGTGTCGGACTAGTATACTGAAATAGTGCGCTCAAGTCTGACCAAGGGCATACACCTATTTCAAAACATAGGCATGCTATGCATGCAAGAGTTCCTTTTTTGTAGGGTGGGTGGATTACTTGAAACATTGTGAGTGATGTCTACATTCTTACAAAAGGAGAGAAGAATATTAATGTGGTAAAGAACGAAAATGTCAAATTACCTCACTCACAGGTATATTGTGGTAGATTATGTGTGTTTTGCGAATAAATGTAAGCTGTATTGGTGCCACGGATACCTGTTAGTACAAAATGCAGACAGCAGACTGCAGACCGGATAAAAAATATAGACTGTAGACTGGGTACAAAATGCAGACTGAGAATCTGAAGAGTTTTTACGTCTGGTATATAATAACATGTCATCTTACAGCTTACCGAGCGTCACGCAATCGCTTTTCTGCGATCCGCCTTCACGATTATTTTCACTATATGTTCCTAATCGCTCTGACGAAGGGCTAACGCTCGAAACGTCAGCTTTTTTTACCCTTTACGGTGGCTAATTTACGTTTTCAACCCAGTTGTTAACACTAAATTACCTGCAATACAACGGATACACAGGGTATGAGTAAGTTTTATTGATTTTACAAGAAAAATGTTCATATTTCGAAATATGTATCGTTATAAATCGACCATACTTCGTTCCCTGTACTATTCCTTATAACTTGCAGTTCCTCTCGTAACTTAACACCGAGTCACACAACGCGTGACGCGTTCATGAATTAATCGTTGGCTTTTTCTCGAGACGTGAGCTTGGGCCGCCTGTGACAAGACAATTGCGTAACAATATTTAACATAATAACATTATACACAAAAAAGCACACAGGGTTTTGGATCACGTATTTATTAAAAAAGAATATCCGTACAACTACAATGAAAACAAACATAAGATTCACCTTTCTGATTGTGAAATTAATACCATTCGTACTGTTATCGTAGCTACGTTCCTTGCCATCAAGTGAATCCAACATGTCGTCTTTCTTCACAAGCAGTTTGCATCCATTCTAGTTATGTTCTTCAGTCTCACGGTAGTAACGTTGTTCAATAGATTGCATAGAGCATATGCAGTTTGGTTTCAGATTTCAGATTTTGCTTTTTCAACAAGTGAACGTTTTTCAACATTGGCATACTTAGCATACAAGGTATTCAAGGCTTTCATGGCTTTCAAGCGTTCGCGACTCAATTCGTTCCAAAATTACCGCTCAATAACATCTTTCAGTGTGGATTAGCCGCGATTAATACGACTTGTATATGCTTCTGTAAGTATTTTGCGCGTTTGCGCCATAATGCTCCAGGAGATCGCAACCCAAATACGTTGAAATTTACAAGCAAGATCTCGTGTTTGTCATGTGACCCGGCCCTGTCTGTGCATGACAACGTCAATCATCATCAAGATAACACGCGTGATCAGCATGTGAACACCTCATTGGATCACAATTAGTTGTCATGGTGTTGAGGGATAACACGCGTGATCAGCATGTGAACACCTCATTGGATCATAGTTAGTTGTCATGGTGTTGAGGGCCCAATGACTTCTGGGTACTATTGCGCAATTTTTCCATTTTGTGGCGGAGGAAAAAAAAAAAAAAAAAGACGACAAAAAAACAAAGGCATTTTATGACTGGGCTACCACAGGTATCCCAGTAATAACCACAGGCAGCCAGGTTTTTCTCTTAATTAGCTGTATTTCGTATTTCCTAAAATGCAAATCGACACATAAATAGCTAAGTAGAGTCTGCTCAACTGTTGTACTGGTCAATTTTTTGCAAAACTCGATTATATGGTTGAGAACGCGCACCTCTATCCACAAAAACTCTTCCCACCCCCCAGCGGGGTAGAGATTTTTTGTTTATCATATGACAAAGCACGTGACTTTCTTATGATGTGTATAAATATTATCAGCCGGTAAAGTAGAGTAGTAAGAAAATCAGTGTTAAGTATCGAACTTAACTTAGCGTGGCTGGCTTAACTTATGATCTTAAATCAAGATTGTGTGTTTTAATTGAGTCAGCAGAGAGATAAGTTATCCTTAACCGACGACAAAATTTTCGTGACGGGAAGTCGATTTCTAAAGGATCGCAAGTACAAGTAATCTTCATCGTGTAGTCGTTCCTCATCAACTGAAAAAAGACTTTAGCATGGCCCAATGTATCGAAGGAAAGATGAAAATGACCTGGAGAACTAGAATTTGCTACGGAGTCGGTCATATTCTTAATGACCTTTGCGCTTCAATGTGGTTTACATATCTTCTGCTTTACCTTCATAAGGTTGCTCAATTTTCAAATTTGGCTTCGGGAACTTTGCTGTTGATCGGTCAAGTCGCTGATGCTCTTTCAACGCCGTTTGTTGGTGTGGAATCCGATAAAACCAGAGATTGTAAATACGGTCGCAGAAAAGTCTGGCATCTCGTTGGAGTTGTGTGCGTTGCTTGTTCCTTTCCATTCATTTTCAACCTCTGCATTGGTTGTGAAGACGCATCAACTTGGGCCTTGTTCGTGTACTATGTTCCCTTTATTGTGATTTTCCAGTTCGGCTGGGCATCAACGCAAATTTCTCATTTAAGCTTGATTCCAGAACTGACGGATTGCGAAAACGAGAAAGTTACCTTAAATGCCATCAGGTAAGTTCAAGTTTACGTAACGTTGCCCGTGGATGCGTGAGAAAACATCCATAATTATACTTTAACTAATGCACAGCGTACTTCTAAATGGTACTTTTAAATGCAAAGCAGCCTTTTCTGTTTTTGCCTCTTTTCTTTTTTATTTTTTACTATCTCAACTCTCAGTCACTTTTGTATCGTGGAACGTGACGTGATTTCACAACATAGAGGTCTACTTGTAACAACAGTAGTAAGGCCGCCTATTTTATAACAGCCACTAGTCGACCAGGAAATCACCAGGTACATTGTAGGCTAGAAGTAGGATACAAGTATACACACACACTCACACAGTGTTCTGGCAAAAGTTGTTTTGCCTTAAGTCTAACAGTAAGTCAGCATCAACTGGAACCAAGAAATTTAGAAGGAGACATGGTTTGATGCTACTCTGGTTTACAGATTTAATGAATGTAACAGAAGAAGTTATAATTCATAGACCCAACGTTTCAACACTCCTGTCTAGTGCCTTCATCAGGGGTGATCTAAATGCTGCAACAAGAGATCCTTTTAAAGGATCACTAATTAGCTGCCTTTTTCCTGACGAGGTGTAAATAGGTGTCAGGAAGCAAGCCGCCATTGTCACAATTTAAAGGAATGTGGGCAGAGTTAATATGCCATGTCAGATTGTCCACCTGGTTGCCGTGTGAACTTTAATATATTTTAAGTTTAGAAGAAATTTTTACCCTCATTGGTATGGATGAAATTTCAAGAAAAGTACTTGTCCTTTCAATAGATCAGGAAGTGATTATAAAGCATAACTATTGAGGTCTGTGGAAGGAAGCACATATATAGACTTATGCAGAGAATGTGCCTGGAAAAGTAGTTTGGCCTTTAGCCATACTTGTAGTTCGAGTCAAATGCAACTATGCAGGTACAGCATTGATCTAAAGAAGGGAGCACATGCATGCTAACACAGAAATTTCTAAGTGCATCTTTGGATTTAGTCTCAAAAAGATGAATAAGTGTAATAAATGGTGTGGAAGTGGGGAATGCCACTGGAGGCATGAATCAAGGACCCTGATCTGATCTGATTGTTAATTCTTGCCTGTTTCCTTTCATTTCCTTGTAAATTAGTTATGAGAACTTGGTGCTAGATCAAGATAGCAGCTTCTACCTGATAAGTTTGAATGTTCTCATTACCTGTTTGCTGAAGAATGTATGGATATTGTAGGGAGAAGTTTTATGTTAATCACTTCTGGGAGTTAAAGGGTTAAAGGTTAACTTTACTCATGGAGGCCTCTACAATCAAAACATAAAAAATTTTTTTTAATCAAAACATACTAGATGTGAGAATTTTAAGTGAATTTAAATTCAGGATGATGCCGCTTGATAAATACCAGATTGAATCCATCTTGGAAATGTGACATGTGAATTAGAATGTGCTTTTTCTAAGACACAAATGTTTGTCTCATCTGTTTTATTTTTTTTCTGTTGCATATCAAATTTCAATATTAAGGGAACTGATTTATCTAGAATTCATGTAGAATATTACCATAGATTTTTCATTCCAGTTAATATATTAAGCTTATGCAAATATATGAACACAGAATTTTGTAACAGTTTATGCAAGTTCTATGATTAGTGTTAGCCTTAGTTATCTTTTGAAAACTGAACACTCTTTTTTTTATCACTGACAATTGATTTAATAATCAATGTCCCAGCCAGAGTTTGAATTTTATATTTTTTCAAGTAAAGATAGGATTTCATTACCTTTTCAGATGTTACATGTAAAGGATCAGCAATTTAATTAGTTGGTTCAAACCTTCTTGTTTTTTTTTCTTCCCCAGATATGCTTGTACAGTTTCATCAAACATTTTTGTCTTTTTGGTGACATGGGTTCTTATAAGTACAGAAGGAAATGGCACAGACAAACTTTCTCCTTCTGACTCAACAGCTTTTATGGTCAGTGAATAATTTTTGTAATTCTTAAGTCTTTGCAGCCAACAATAAGTTTTGGTGTATTGTGGTAGTGTTTAGTGAATAAGTATCCACCAAAGTGTAAATATACTGAAATATGGTCAGAAATGAAACTCTTCATTTCCCACGATCTTTTCTCTTCTGCTTCTTGAAGGTGAGCAATACTTGCTAATCACTTCTGAATTAGCCAATCAAAGAAAAGCACCTTTCATCCGTGTGGTACATACTATACCCAGATATCTGAGGTGATAGCAAGCCCAGCCCTAGATCTCATAGATGAGATAAAAATTACAAATAACTTCTCTTTGCAATTGAAGTATATCATGCAGCAAACAACATATGAAAACAGAAGCACTGATTGGCTGCTCATTGGTGATATTTTCCCTTTATAATAACATAATTCTAAACTAATCTCACCATTATTTAACTAACTAATTTTGATAATAGAAAAAGGGTTACCAGCTAGCAAGGATGAGAATCATTAATTGATTAGGTGTTGACAGTTGAGAAACAGCTGATTCTCAATTCTTATTTGTGTGTCAAGGATCAAGAATTGATTGTTCAAGATTAAGAATGCATTTTTTTTTTGTCATCAGTGAAAGAGTTGGGTACCTTAAGTTAGTGATGAATTTAATCTTTTGATTGTAAAGGACTTGTAAGTCTTCAATTTATGACATATTCTGTTCCAGTATGTTGCATTTATTGTGGTTGGCACTGGTCTCCTGTTCATGTTGATATTTCATATCGGACTAAAAGAGCCTCCAAGAAGTTGTACATATGTGTTTGCAAATGAAAGAAGTAAAAGAAGTGCTGCAAACTGGATGCATTGGTTTAAAGAAATCCAGTTCTATCAGGTTTGTTTGAAAATTAGGAAAAAAAACTCTTTTAGTTCACAACAGATATACCATTGGACAAAAAAGGGGCACTTGACTCAGTACTAACAATTAACTATTACTTATGATAATTATTTCCTCTTATAACAGCAGGCACACAATTTACTATTTTTATTTACTATTATCATTTAATATTTATCTTTTTTTGTTATTATTGCTGCAGCAGCTTTTATATGATGGTAAGATCTTTCAAATGGACAGAGAGCTGCAAAACATATAATATTGTTGTTTGCAACCTGAGAATTTTTTTCACTCAGTTAATTTTCATTTTGCCTTGATGAATGTGCAATATCTAATCATGGAATTGGAGAATAACTTGAGTTTGTTTGAATACTAGTTGTGAGGATGATGATGTAACTTATTTTCATTGATTTGGCAGGTGGCTGCTCTCTATATGTGCACTCGACTGATTGTTAACATCACCCAAGTTTATATCCCCATGTACGCTCTTGAAACACTGTCGTTAAGAAAGGTGGGGTGAACATTCACTGTTTTAAAATACAGTACTGTAATAGATCCTCAAGACTTATAAGTACCCTTTAAATAATTTAAGCACCCCTCTTATGGGGCAGTATTTGAATGAGCACTCTTCCTACAAAAAAATTAAAGCAGCATTTGTATCTTGGCACTATCTACAAAGGATTAAAGCACAGGGCATGCAGATTGAAGTGTTTAAGGTAGTAGAAGATGTCCTTTTTCATCAGTTACATCAGGGGTGTGATATTTGTGCAAATAAGCGCTGAGCCACTTATTTAATTTATTTCACCTCATGTGGGATAAGATGTACGTCACCCTGAAGTAAGCATCCAGTGTCTTTAAGTAACATTTATGGGGGGAGAGAGGGGGGAGAGAGGGGGGGTTGAGTAAGAGCCTTGGTGTATGTGAGTACCCCCAGAGGAGGTGTGCCTTTACGAGTTAGGTCTTTTAATGCTCTGTAAACTTTGATGTTCAAAGTCTTTCCTTTAACACTGCATTGATTCTGTCTTTGTAACTTAGCTCACTTTTTTTAAAACAATCTACACCCTAAGATAACTTTTCTTTCTGTTTCAGGACACCATTGCTATAATTCCCTTAGTCATTTATGTATGTGGATTCTTGTCCACATTCCTTTCAAAACCATTAAACAAGTGCTATGGTAGAAAGGTAGGGGTATTTTTTGTGATATTTAGTTGATTTATCACTGATTACCACTGACTGTGATGCTCTGACCTGGTTGATTTTAGACTAATAACACCCTCATATGTAAACAAGTGTTTCTGTGTACTTTGTATTGTTGGGTGATGATGAAAAACAGATATGCCTGTTCAAATGATTACATACAGTTGATTCTAGAGATCTATTAATTAACTGATCTCATTGGTTGATTTTATGTCAATCTAAGTTGCATTCATTAGCCTATGCAAGATGATTTTAACAATCTACATTGTTCTCATCAACTCTTTTGAGTAAAGGGGTTGAGAGTTTTGTCTTTCAGTGAGTCTCCAAGATTTTGCTTTCCTATGTTTAGAATTTTTTGGAGTACATTCCAAGGGTGTTTCCTCTGGGATAATCTATATCCAAATTATTTCAAAAGAATGCTTTGTAAGTCTTTTGCAAAATTTGTCTTCTAGGGTACATTTTTCCTTGGACTCCTTATGATAGGAGGTGTGAGGCAAGTTGTTGAACCAAATTTTTTCTTTGTGAGATCAGTATTTATGTGTTTCAATGTTTAAACAAATTACAGTACATGAAATTGTTGTTTTTGTTTACATTTTCCAAAGGCTAACTTATAAAATATGTGTTAAGATTCTTAAGGATGGAGATTTATTACAATAAAGCAGCAAAACACCAGATGAAACAGCAAATAAGATATCAAAGGGGAAAAAAAGTAATGCAATGATGTAGTCTGAATTATTGAGTTATTGGTGAGATTTTTCCAGTGTGTATAAGAATGAGGGCTTGATGAGCAGATGTGAGGCAATATTCTTGAAAGTTGTTTGGTTCTTGCATGTATATGTTTTGGAGAATTGATCTGTTTTGTTGGTTGTTTTTGTTTTTCCCCAGTGCATGGATGCGTTGGATAGGAGAGAAAGACTACATATCAGCATATGGAGCCTCTGCTTTATTAGGAGTTGGTGGATCAACTTTACTTGTCACTGCTTTGACTATGCTTGCAGATCTGATTGGGGAGAATGTGGTAAATGTTGTCTTGTTTGGCCTGATTAAGATTTTGGTGTTGCATTTTTTCCCTATTTATCTGATATGATAAATTGTTTGTGTTTATTCCAGGAAACAGGTGCATTTGTGTATGGAGCAATGAGTTTCACAGACAAACTATCCAATGGACTTGCAGTACAACTCATACAGATATTTCATCCATGTAACAAAGTAGGAGAGTAAGTATTATTAACTAATGGATTATAGTATTTTCAATGACCAACTTTGTATACATCATATTTTGTGAATTCACAACTGACTGGTACCTGAGAATTCTCACATGAAACTTGCAATGCTTTGATTTATCAAAACAATGTCAATTGTGCTGCACAGTGATATTGTTTTGAGGAAGCATTATTGATCTACCTTGTCATCTTGGTCAGATGGCATCAGACACAAACTAACTAGAAAAAGGCTTGTGTCAGTCCGCACATGTACTTCTTACAGTTGTTCTTGTAATAACTGTTTTGCAAGAAGACATATGCCCAAATAGTCAAATGTTGAAGTACTGTACATTTGATTAACAGAGGAATAGTGTGCTGATGGAACTCAGTAGACTTTGCCAAGAGAAGTATCTCTTAAATCCATAGTCAAGGTGAAAATGTGCCATTTTTTCTATTACTGGCACTATGTGCAATTTTTTCCTTTTACATGCACAGTGTGCCATTTTTTCTATTACTCGCTTAGTGCTTTGGACATAGGTGACATTTGTGATCCCTGCAGTATACAGGCCGCTTGTCACATCTAAACCTGGCATATACAACCCATGTATTCTACAAATGTAGTTCACTAGTGAGTGAGTCCTCTACATCTCTGGCAAAGCAATGAAGTGTGAAATCCAAATTCTGTGGTTGGATTCCTCATGGGGTACTCAGATTGGTTTCTTTGTTCCACGCTCATGACAAAACAGATGACATCCTTCTATGTAGGACTGAAGACTAACGTGAGGGGTTTTATTTCTTTGGAAGATCTTACCTTAAAATAGCAGTAGTCTTTAAAGGTATATGGACTATTCACACGCCTAATTTCATGACACCAAGCATCTTTTTTTCGAGTCTCTAGCTGTAATGAGCTTTCAATGTCAACTCCATCAAGATGGTAATTTGTTACACAAAAGGATATCCTTCTGTTTTATCTTTGAATGATAGTCGGTGCTTGACGTCTCTGTATAACCATAATATGACGAGTTTGATGTCCAGGGAGAAAAACTGGCCTTAGATCCAGGTGGCTGAGAGCTCACGAGTCTTTCTTCTCTTGAGAGCAACGTCCTTGTTATTAATCTTTGTTGTTACTGCTGCAAATGCTTTGGATAACCTGTGCTTCTTATCAGTGCACCCTCTGCCATGAAAGAGTCGCGTTTGGTGTTCTCTGCTTCCTAACTGGTAGTTTATTATTAAAGTAATGTGACTCTGTAGATTGTTTCGCTTTTCACCACAGACTTCTTTACTTTCTGGCCACTTTTTCGCTCCAAGCCGATTCTTTGTTACACTGACTTCTTACGAGTACTCTGACTCGCTCTTATTTTCTCGGTAGCTTATTAGAGAACTCCTTTGGTGTCACGGTGTTGTCTACTTTAATAGGAAATTTGTGAAAATAAGATTTGACCTCGCGTGAAATTAACACAGTTGAGACAAAAACTTTGGTAACTTTGGTAACTGTGTTGTGTTGTAAGGTGCGCCATTTACCCTGATGTGGTATGTTTATGGTAGACCTCCTAGTGAGTATCTTCCTTGGAAAGGCGTTTAATTCAATGCGGTATTGTTACTGTGCTTTCAGAATTTTCTCGCCTTTCCATTCTACTAAGAGGTTATGACGTCACGCCGAAGTAATATTCTCTCACCGATTGGTAAATCTTCGTTTACTTACACGAAGATTTGCCATGAACATTATTTATTTCATCTAGAATAAGAACGTGTTTATTGTATTACGTTATTTTTCGTTTTGATTAGAATTCTCATCAGAATATCATAACCTGGCTCCGCTTTAACTTGTAGCTAATGAATGCCATGTAACAGCCTTTAACCAGCTCCTGCTTGCTTGCTTGTACGCCAGCGTGCGCCTTATCAGACTACTGGTAGTTACTTTATTTTCAATTTCTTGTTTCTATACTTTTGTTTGCTCGAAAGTCATGTTGCAGTACATAGTCCTTGGAATGGAAACTCTACAGCTTCCCCTCATGGAATAGGACTCAGTCATTCTCACATGTACGAGTTTCAATCAACCAACTTCATGGTCAAATAATTACAATTACGCTATAATAAATCGTTGTTTAAATGCAAATCTTTAGTTGCACTGTGAGCAGCAAGAACACCTTCTATAACTTTCTGCAGTATTCACGTCTACCCGTTGAAAATAAGCTATTTCCGTGATTTCCATTGCCTCTCCTTGAAAATGGGAGTAAATGAGAAGCCATTTCACGACAAAGTTTAGCAATGTTGCCTCATTTTGAAAGTGAGGGTCTTGTAGAATCGTTCAATAAAATTAGTGTACTGCGTTAAAGAGTAGTTGATCGTGAACGTGAGCGTAGACATTTTTGAAAGGTGGACGGCCTTATCAAAGGTAATGCAATACTCCTAATGCGCTTTGGCTTCAAACTATCAACTGCAAAGCCTTCGCTTGAGCGCGTGAAACTGAAAGGTACGGCAGAAGCACTGTAGTGCGTGTGGCATACAGATGGTAAAGAGCCTTCACCTTTCGGCTGCTGAAGCCTCGCTTACCATACGTTAAACCTGAACCATTGGCGTTAACTGAACTTATTAATTTGCTGATCGGTTATTTTTATTTCCTTAGGACCTGCTGCGCAGGCTGTGGTCCATACTACAGAGAGGTTATGGTGTATGTTGCTGGTGGGGCAACCATAATATCAATGCTGGTTCTAATCAGCATGTTAAAGACGAAAATAGGAGACTTCGAAGGTAAATTTTTTTTAGTTGTGAGGAAAAGCCTCAATTGTATTTTAAAATAATTTTTATTTGTTTTTTTAATTTATTTTCGTTGGAATAGACTCTTAGACTCATATAATTTTTATGTATCTTTACCCTATTCTTCTGAACTGACTATGCAGTGCATGAAGCGACCAGTTTTCATTATGCAGCATCAGACTAAATCCCGAAAGTACTTTCGAAATTGGTAGATTCTTAGAAACGAGTTTTCTGAAGGTTGAGTTCGAATCCGCAGCATTGCATGCATAAAATAAACAATATCCTTAAAAAAAAGCGGTAATGTAAAAAGGCGCTTGAGCGAAGACGTGTCTGAAGTTTTTACCTTTTTGTGGTTCTTCTTACAGAATCTGGGAAAGTAGAAGCGAACGTACAAGATAAACTGCTTGGTCAGAACGTTTCAGTGAGTACCAGCGTATCAAGATCTATAGGATCGCCGCCCAATCAATCGTGCCTTATGTACGAACCTACGACCTCGCCCAAGTATGGATCAATACAAGGGTCACCTCACGATGTGCCATGCTCCATACAAGAGGATGTCGGTAGTTCACAGGAGAGGGCAAGAAGGAACTGTGAGCGGTGATCATACGCTGAAACATCTGAAATGTGATTATTGATAAGAATATCACTGTTGAAAGGAATGTACATGAGAGGCAATACGTTCCTAAATGTGAAGCTAATGTGTTGCCCATCTCATAGGAAGTCGAGAGATATGGCTGAAATTTGGAAGGCACTAACTCGAGGTGTTCAAGCGATCGATCACCTGAGAATTTTGTATCAAATCACAATTCCGGTAACAAAAATTCTGCTGGCACTAGCTTAAGGTATTGAAGCGATTTTAAAGGAATTATTCTAAATCTTAACTTTAAAGAAAGAAATTTTAAAATGGTTTCGTGTTTTGGAGAACATGGAATGTGTTATTGGCTTTTCTTTTTTCTGTATTTGAGTAAATAATTTTTAATACAAATGGAAACTACATGAAGAAATATCTACAGCTGGTCTTTTTCGGAATCATATTGCCGGTAAATATAAATGAATGATAAAACGGTATATTTAAATGAGAATTGAGAAGAGAAGAACTCTTTCATTCTGAATTGAATTGAGTTGAACTTCATACAGAAGGATACAAATATCCCAAGACAGGAAACGATAAAAGAATTCGTGTCGCATCTTTTGATACAAAGAGCTGGTTTATATTTCCACCAAATTTTAATGGTTTTCTCCCTTTCACGGAGAAAAGCTCACCAAATGCATGGAACTTGATTAACCCTTAAACTCCCAAAATCTCATTAGTAATTCTCCTTACTGTCATTCATACAATTCTTGTGATGATAGTTTTGAGAATTTGGTATTGGATCAACTCAATCCTTTAAGCGATATTTTTATTTATTCTTATCACTTGTCTGCTTGATATTGTATTGATATCGTAAAGAAGAATTATATCATGGTCATTTATGGGTGTTAAAGGGTTAAAAGTTTAATCAGTCTTTATAATGAAGCTTCGCCATTTATGGTTAATTATCACTTCTTGATACCTTTTCATACAACTTGAAAAAAGCGATAATTTTCAGAAAGTAGCGCAGTATTTTAGGAAACAAAGAAATGAGATAAATACAATTACATAAATAAATTATGCATATGTTAATATATTGGTCTCTGTCGTGTAGTTTTTCGATAAATTTGAAATTCAACCTTTCTTGGATGATGTTCATAATTCGAACATAGCGCGGGTAAGCGCGAGTAACCAAGGCGTGATTGATTGTAGTGTTTCTCCTCGTTGGATGGAAGGACAGCACAAGTTTTCACCTCTTTTTGAACAACCGGGGAACAATGTTCACTTAATTACTTCTCCCTTCCGTACTTTTGCCACGGAAAAAATTTAACAGACACCTAACGCGACCGCCCGTATTTACGGTCAATCAAGTTGGAGTCGCATTGTGATGTAGATCCATTTTACTGGAAATACGGTCGGCAACGACTGCTTTCCTCCCTGCGTTACATGAAGGAGGGGGTGAATTCCCGGATATAAGGAATATAGCAACGTGTCGCCCCAAAAGATGTTATTTTTACCTTCTTTAGTCTGATAGTCTGAAAACGGGCACAGATTTTAAGCACTTTCGTCGTTAAATCAGGTATATTTCTCATAATTGCTATGCGATAAAGCCGACTAAGAATTTCTTTTCTTTTTCGCAAATTTTTTATGCCATAAATTGGAGGATTTTTCAATGGATCAGAAATGGAACGGTCTAACTAAAAAATATGTCTGAAAGCATGTGTAGTTAAGGGCCACGGTTTCGTTTCTCCATCGCCATGATAATTACCAGCAAGGGCAGAAAAACACTTTTTTTCCCTAAAAACATCAAAATTTGAATATTGAAGATCCAATACTATGAAGCTCAAATGATAGAATATCAAGAAACGAAATTGAATAGACCAGCCTTTGAGCTACGGCCCGCACTGCCATCTAAGATTTGTCTTCAGCCCCGTTTAGTCATGGGAATTTTTAGAGACGCGTGTAGAAAATGGCATGCCTCGGTTCGAGCTGGGGTCTGGGCTACGAGAACCCAAAAAGAAATACAAGGAGCATGTTCGTCATCGTATCGTTTGCTAGTAGCCTCGTTTCAGCGTCTGATATTTGCATAACGAGGCAGTTTTGATGTCAAAAGGGGTAAGTTTCGAAAGAAACTGTGGTGCTGCATCGGTGGGAGAGTATAACAGGTAATTTAGTGTTAACAACTGAGTTGAAAACGTAAATTGGCCACCGTTAAGAGTGAAAAGGCTGACGTTTCGAGCGTTAGCACTTCGTCAGAGCTAATTTTGGTTAATTTTGATGTTACACATGGTGACAGATTTCTTGAAACGTGTGATTTCTTTTTAACTTAAAAATCCCCTTGTTCGCCCCTCTCCCTCTCTCAGTCCCAGTCTGCTACTGCCATGCTAGCGGAGAGGTGTATTCACGCCTGTTGCTTTGTGAGCTTACGCTATTGTGCACACTATTTTGTACTTTATGGCTAAATGCTACATAGACGACAAAATGGTATTATGATAAGAGCAATCACATAATACAGGGCCTCTTGGCTCCACCCTGTCGGCATGCGTTGAAGAACGAACGAGGCAGAACATAAAAGGATCAATCGTGATTCAATGAGGTGTGAAGAAGTGCCCTGTATTCTGCAGCTTTCCAAATACATATTTTTTAAAACTTTCAGCGCAGGCGTCTTATTAAGGTCGATTGGCGTTGCAAAATCTCGACCATTTATTCGCCAGACCATGATTGCAAAACCTCACCTGCTCAGCCTATCTGAGGATATTTCGAAGGCTGCTGATCGGATAAAGCTGCACGCCAGAAAAACTCCTCTGGAATACTCTCCTTGGTTAAGTGACGTTGGCAAGTCGAAGGTCTATATTAAACTGGGTAAGTATAGTAACCAACCTTTACTGCTTATCCACAGTAACGAATTTCGTCTTGACCAATCGGCAATAAACAGTGTTGGAGTTTGATAAATAACAAGATCGTCACTAACTCAAAGGGTTTATATATGACGGGAAAATAGTTTAGTACAAGACGCGTGAATTTTACAGAAGGCAACGTAAGGTGCCAAACATTCACGCGTGAAATGGGATCAGGCCCCTTCACTCCCCTCCCCCCTGACCTTTGTTACCCTCTTCATTCTTCAAGGATTTTGGTATTAAGAGTTCCACACCCAATCGACTCATACCCCGACCGTTCCCCCTTTGATTCATTTTGTTAGTGGTAGTCTATAATAGGGTTGAATATTAAGCGATAGGGATTTGATAATAGGGTTCTACAACTTCATCATGCAGTTATAGATTTGTAGAATTTCTTGTCAAGTCAATTGATCTTTCAGGCATGATTAAACATATTGCAATTGAACGTTGTTGGGTTTCGTTAAAAAACGGTTACCATCAGTCCAGTGCCACTTATAGGTGCTCTTCTTGCCTTCTGTCAAGATTTTATTTATAGGATTTGTACAGCTTTTTGAGTGATCATGGCTGTATGTTTCATCATTGGCAGCTGCTTAATAATTATGAAAAAGGCTGTCAAAACCTCTGAAAGTGTTTGGAGAAGATAACTCCTCTCTCCTTTGGAGAATTTATATAGGTCTTGAAAAGGCTTTGTACCCCACCTTTGCAGGGGACCAAAAATGGTCTGCAAAAATTTGCCAGGCTAATCTTTTGCTGGCATGAAACCTCAAATATTACATATTTCTCCAAAGACTGGAGATGAGTGTAGGTATGGTGATATCTTAAATTGTGTGGCAATTCATAACAACCATTCACATCACAGCTTGGAGAAAGCTCAATTACCAGCCACTGTTTGGAAACGAGCTGACACTCACCCTTCTTCTTCTTGAGAGGATCGAGGACTAGACCCAAAAAATGGCAGAAATCAAGCCCAAATCTAGGGCTAATATATTTTTAAATATATCATGATGAATTGTGGACTTTTGCTAAATTCCATATTGCATATTTATTCTCTGACACATGCAAATAACCCTGCTTAGTCTTAAATGTTGATTTTGACTCAAGTGTTGTTTGTTCTCCTTTGGGGACAGTAAAATGTTTTTTTTGTAAATAACAGTTATTTATTTTCATTAATATAGAGAGTGAACAGATTACAGGATCTTTTAAACTGAGAGGAGCCTTCAACAAACTCCTCACCCTTAAAGAATCAAATGATGAGGTTTTTCTGACTAATGGAGTGATTACAGCTTCTACTGGAAATCATGGAGCAGCTACTGTAAGATGAAGTTTTTCAATATGGTTGATCTTAATATTTAACAAGCCTTTGTTATTTGATTGAGCAAACTTGTACCTGTATGATGAATGACTAGCTTTACTTTAAAGTGGCTTCATGCTTCATGCTTGTGGAGAATTTAAAGCTTTGGAAATCATGGGCCAATTAACAGACTTAAGCCTTTTAATTTCTATATTTTATTTATTCAACGGTTATATTATCTATGATAAAATGCCAGTAATAGTCTGCATGACTGAGGGAGAGAACATTTGTGGCCATTACTCAGATTAAAGTATTTTAAAAGTGGTTGTGAGGTCAAAGACACCCTTCAAAGTCAGCCCCAGTCCTTTCAAGTAGTTATAGTGGAGCCAAGAATGAAGGTGGTTGGCAGTTGTCCATGTAAATTAACCCTGATATTATGAAGTGACAAGTTATTTTTTAATTTAAAATGTTTCTTTATTTGTTTGTTTTTTATGTAGGCATATGCATCAAGTAAAGTTGGCACTCCAGTTACTATTTATGTACCAGAGACCACTTCTTATGCCAAGCTGAAAGTAGTGAAACAGTTTGGTGGGTCTGTGAAGTTCCATGGAGAAGACTGTGTTGAAGCAGAGGTGACAGCCAGGAATGCTGCTAAGGTTCAACAACATTGCTGCACTCCTTATGTTAACGAAGCTTCTCTCTCTCAATACTAACAATAGAAGCACAAAATAATCTGTGTTTGGCTGACCACAACAGTGTGGGAAGATGGTTGAGAAAGCTGTAATATAAAGATAAGTTTGGTTCTAGCTGTAAGTAAACAATGTTTGATTGTGTAAAAATTTACCAACAGGATTGCCCTTGGATTCCAGGAGAGTAGTAGTATTTCTAGCAATTTTGTGCTGCTGAAATCATTTCCAAGGCTGGATGAAAGCAATGCAACTGGTCATTCAGGCTAGCAAAATCCCTCTCTGAGAATAAGCAACTTTTTGTGTTAATTTGCAAGTACCCTAATTTTTTCAACATTAAGAAAACAAGCCAAAAGAAAGAAGCATGATAATAAGACAAACAGGCTACAAATTAGTGTCATAGCTGTTAACCCTTTAACTCCCAAGATCTGTTTGTCAATTCTCCTCTCTACTTACTACACATTTCCTTCTAAATAAGTCACAAGAATTTGGTGTTAGATCACGACTACTAACTTCTACCTGATGAGTTTGAGTATTCTCATTACATGTTGGTTGGATAATGTGTGGATGTTACAAGGAGAAGTTACATGTTAATCTCTTATGGGAGTTAAAGGGTTAAGACAAGTGCGCTGCAAACTCAGTGAGTAGCAACTACATTTAATGACCAAATGAGGGAATACAAATAATGATGGGAATGCGTGACAAGTAACGCAAGATCTACATATCGCAACAAGAGCCCTCATAAAATGTTACAGGAAATCCCTCCTTGTCCCATTTGTTTGACAGTGTATGCTTATCCCTTTAGGAAAGTGGCATGCATTTTGTTTCGCCATATAATGACCTTGTAGTTGTTGCTGGGCAAGGAACCATTGGGTAAATATCTATTTTGTTATTTATGTTGGTGGTGTTTAGTTCATATTTGTTTATTTATTATTTTCATTTAATTATTATTTCTTCAGTCTTGGCATGTGGAGAAAAATAGAAACCTTTCCTTGTTACAGAGTCTCTCACGCTGACAGCTCAGCTTTTTAATTGTAATACTTAAACTCGACTTTTTCAATGACAAAAAACTTTGTTTAAAATATAATTACAGAGTCGTAACGAGGTATGTGGGATCAGGGATCAAAGGGGTGGGATCTGGGATCAGAAGCCTGGGATCGGGGATCAAAGGCATAGAATCAGCG